CTCCCAATAATATCCATTTTTCCTATGGCTTAGACATAAACATCAATGGTTTAGACACTATGGATCAGAAAGCTGCATTGTTTATGTGTTAATGCTAGCGATCTATTGCAAGACTATGCTTTCATCTCAATTAAGATTAGAGCTAATAATAAATTCGAGTTGTATCATGTTCTAATTAGGTTTTCTAGGTCCTACTTTTATAAAAATACTAATACTGTAAGTTATATTTAGGGTATATTGAAGTCACTGCCTTTTTTAAATTTCATTGGAACCACAATCTCATACTTTGATAAAAGAATGCAACCTTTTACTCTAAGTCTCTGTATTAAATGTGCGCAGTTTTCACTAGCATGTTAAATAGCGTGCTACAGAGGCCTAAAAGGAAGTAAAAAGCCGTTTAGCATATATCTCTATTTTGGTATATATGTTACTTTCAGTAATTTTTATTGAAATAATTTATTTACTTTGGATATCCTTGGATAAAATTAATGACAGCGATCTGCTCATTACTGTGAGGCAAATGTTTACATACCAGAATTAAGGTTTTTGTTTCAACATCCCAATGTTAAACTCAACTGAATATTGAAGATAAATGACACATCTAGATTCATTCTGTAGTATGATGAACCAGAATGGACAGAGAAGAGCATGAAAATGCTTTTGTTGTTTACAGGTTGCTGTCTTAGTACAGTTGATGGAACTGATAGAACGGTCGTTAAGGAAAGTTTAAAAACCCTCATTAAATTTTTTTAACTGTTTGTCCTGCAACGCATGCCTCCTCTTGGCTCTGCAGACATCCTAAGAAAACCTCTAAACAAGACAGATTTCCGTTTGATAACATAAGCAAACCTAAATTTGATTATTTCTCCAAATTATATTAATGTTCAGTGTGTACTGACAGCGATAGGAGTCTGTGGGAATACGGTTTCTCAAGGCGATTGTACATCTGACACAGGTACCCCTATTATTCCTCTGTTAGTTCTTCCTATTTGCTGTTTTCTACACCCAGAGAAGTAAATGAACCCCAGCAATGGGAGTACAGGGTAGCAGTAGTAAAATGCAGGATGATACTGGTCCAAGAACAAACTGATGCAAAGCTTTTGTTTATAAATAGAAATTTGAGTAGCATTCTTAATGGTTAAAGCTGGAAGATACTGAAACATCTTTCATTTCAGAGTAGTGAGGGTGAAAAAACTTGCACTGCTGTTAGTCTAAAACCTATGAAGTGTCTGGAGATAGTTCTGTGATGCAGCGCCAGAAGAAGGTGGCTCAGTAAGTAATTTCAAATCCTGTATTTCTGCGCTCACAAGGAATTAATCTAGGCTGAAGCAGATGGACAGGATTCACTTGTGCCTGTTTAGGTCATTCCACACAGACTTTTCCTAAAAGCCCCAGCTTAAAAAAAAGAAAGGAAGATGAGAGAAGAAAAGATTTCCAAAGGAACTAATGAAAATAGGTCTGAGAGAATTTCTTCCACTGTACTTTTCACTCATTCATGCTTTTGCCCCTTGGTTTCTCCTATCCAGTTTGCCAGAAATTCTTGCAGACTTATCCCGAGGAGCAGAAGCGGCTGTGGGAGGTGGAAGCACCAGGAGATTGGAGCCAGCGAGTGAATATCTGGTTAAAAATTCAGATGGAGTCATCCCCTGCAGGAAGTGAGTTAAAATAAACAGTGTGAACTTGGCCATGTATAGATAAGAAATAAAATCAAGGGTGAGGTAGTGATAACAGGTAGGTGGTTTCTCTGTTGTTTGCACATGGAGAAGTTACTGAGTGTGCAGCCCAGTTCACTGGTCTTTTCCCAGTAAACAGGACAATTCTTAGAAATTATGAGGTAATGAAATTGAACTACAGAGCATCTGAGAGATACTGAACAAAGCACAGTCTTGGGATAAAGTGGCTGTAACTCCCATTGCAGTATATTTACAGCAGGGTAGAAGTTAGTCCAAAAAATTCCTCTTGCACAACACAGTGTCTGGGTTGTAGAGAGGGGTTTATTTCTCTGAAATTATTACAAAGAAGAAATTTGTATGGCCAATGGGCAATGTGTTTAATTACCTTCAATTTGCTGCCAATACCATTCTTGGATGGAAACACGAACATTTTCATTATGGCTTTTGGAAGATTCAAAGTACTCCCCTACAGGGTAAATCCCTCTTGCTGGGAGCATTTTCTGCCTGCTTCACAAAAGGTAGTGACAGAGCAGGAAAACCTTTTGACAGTTCATATGGGGATCTTGTTGATGTAATCTGTTCAGCTGGCTTGGGGATCCAGACAGGCCCCTCTGCTGCATGCACACGAGCTGTGATAAGCATTAGGTTCCAAAAGAAGGGCACACATTGTCTCTCTTTCTGGAAGTGCAGCGAGGAGTGCTGCAGAGCGAATTGCTCCCATGCCTTCCCACATCTATCCTGCTTTGTACTGGCTTGGGGACCTTCAGTTGAGACATTGTGTTTCATCTTGTCTGCAGCATCCCATAGGAGAGTTAAGTCAGAATTTAGCCCTAGGCTGGGTTCCTCTGAAGCCATTACATTTATGTTCCTCATGCTTTAAACCGACAGAAACTGGTGTTGCTCTTTTCTTTAATCCATCTTGCTCAGTTCAGTTTATTAATGGCAATTGAAGAGAGCTATGATCAGATCAGCAAACAGAAAGCGGATCCTGGAGGAGAGTGTACTTAATTTTTTCTTTCTTCTTTTTGCCATCTTCTACAAAAACAAACAAACAAAGAGAAATGACCCAAAACATGGGTAAATATAATTCCACCAGAGTGGCTGTCAGTAAAAAATGCACGTGAGGCCTGGGAACTGCCTTGGCCAGTTCTGCTCGTAAATGAGGTATCTCATACCTACAAAAAGAGGAAGGAGAGCAAGTATAAACCAGAAATGGGGGGAGGGTTTATATGCATTTATATGGTTTGTGAATTGCAATGTGATCTTTATAGTGGAAGGGAGCAGAAGCAAGTGAATTTGGCACTAAAATACATAATAAAAATCTGCTTTTTAAATTATGTTCTCCACTCTGGTGCCCAGCTTTTTGGGCATCACTTTTCTTTACACTGAATGTGCTGAACAGGCTTTATTTCATCCATCTTCAGTGGAAAATCAACCCACTATAAAAAGAGTATTTAAAACAGCGTGTAATACATTTATTATATCTGTTTTACATATGGAATGTACTTGTGTGCTTCTTGTGCTTGTATTATCCCAGTACTGTGCATATTACGCACCCAGGGAAAAATACCAAGGGAGAGTACAGGACAGATAACACCTGCCTGCTAAAACTAGCGGAGAGTTTCCCTCGTTTTGGTTTGTCCTAAAGGCAGCATTACTCCTGCATAGCTTTGTTTGATAGCTGGTGAGGAAATAACAAGAGAATTTTCCAGGGCTTCATGCTATCTGTTAGTAGTAGATAAAGCAGAAACATGTTCTGAGTGCAGGAATCCTTTATCATCTGACCTAGTGTGCTGCTGACCATATGTGTAAAAAGAAGCTTGTGTTTCCAGAGTTGTGGTGTAGGGTGACAGAGAGGAAACTGATGTGGCATAGAATGGGAACCACGGGAGTTGTACGCTTACCTGTTCCATACGTGCACAGTCATTTAGATCTTTAGGGGATCACTTGGGAACATAGTGCTTCATTCCTACTTGCTCTGTTATGTAGAAAGCAAAACACAATGTAATTCAGTATTGTCAGCTCCAATCTGGATCTATGGCAACAACCACGAAAATAGGCAAGTCTTACTCTGCTCTGATTTCTTAGATCCCCGTCGACATTCGCAATGCTATATTTTGGAACAAAATTATTGAGAAGAAAAATTGAAAATTCTGCTCATATTACATTTTTTTTCCCCCGGTACTCAGGATGGAATGCTATTAATGCTGTAAGAATTCTGCAATCGTAGATATTCCAAAATGTTTCTATAACCCTGAGGTCAGAATTTTAAATTTTGCGAGGTTATGTGGCTGCATCTAGTGGCAGTACAGATGAACTGCAGCACTGTTTACTGCAACTGATACTTCGATTTGGATGTGCACAGATACACAGACATATATACACATGTATTTCTGTCTGCATATATACATATATCTATAAAAATAAAGCTCTTTAGCATATTGTCACACACAGCTGCAATCTTTCATTCTGAATTAATTCTTATTGTTTGAAAAATGGAGAGATTTATTTACAGCAAATAGTCTCAGTAACGGGAACATAATGACATTTCTCTTCTGGGGCTGATTGGAGGAGCAGAAATCATTTAACATGATTTGCTCCTAGTTGCTAAATCTACCAGGCAGTGAATTGAGCTGTTTTGAAGTAGTTCAGTAATATACATAAAGCATGTAAATGTAAAGCTAATGCAAAAAATAAGCAGACTGAGCAAGAATTAAAATCAATTTCAAATTATTGCTTATAATCCTTTATCTGAATTGATCAAAGTATCTGTACTTTCTGAAAGGGAGGAAGGGATATGGGTTTTCTTGGTGTAAGAGACGAATGGATTATCTATTTAGCAGAACTTTCAAGCTAAGAAAGACCCAGAGACATTTTCTTTCTAGTATAGTTGTTCACCTTAGTCTTTTGTGGTAGTGTCATCGGGCACCCTGGTTTGGTTAATTAATAAAAGCAAGGCAAAAGGGATTGAAGGTAGTATTCAGGTGGCTTTTTCTGGTGTGTTTTTTAAATGAAAATTGCCGTGGAAGTCTGCTAATGTTTTTTCCTTTTTAATCTCTTTCTGGGGCAAAACTATTCGCCCCATTTCTCCAGAGGCTGAAACAGGCTTTCGAACCAATAAACCCAGGCAATCAGATGTGGACCAGATGAGTAAGGTAAAGTGAGTAATTTGCTATTTTATGACTTTCTTTTTCATTGGTGGCCTTTTCCCTTTTTAGTGAAGTAGCGAGGTTTCAATATGAGAGACCATCACAGACAACTATAGGTTTTTTTTTACTACTGACCCATAGGTTTATGTGGGTAATCATAGCTATACAATATATATGCATACACATCTAATTGATTCATATAGCTAATTTATATAGCTATAGTAGTTTGAGAGGCTAAAGAGTACAGGATAGTTTTTGCTAAATGTTTTAGTTTGATCCTTACTGAGATAAGGGAACTGTAACCAAGCTGGCATACAGTGAATTACAAGGTTTGCATATGCAATGGCTTTCTGAACTGAACTGTGATTTTTCTTGTGCCTGTACAGGGGCTTGAGTGTGACACCTTTAGAATGAGTAAGCCAAGCTCTTTCCGGTCCTTATTATTTTATCCCAGTACTGAGCTGCAGATCTTCTGTGCTTAGTTTTTTGCAGGATGGAGGCCTAAAACAGGCTGCGATGTTTGAATGAAGCCTAAACCTAGTTAGCGGTACATATGTCTGAGAAAACAAATCACAGTAATGAACCTTTTTCAAGTAATAAAGAAAAAGGAGAGACGAGTGGAAGCAAAACAAAGAGCTGTAGGGGTTGTTTCCCCAGTACATTTTGGTTGTAGCACAATTAAAGCAGTTTGTTTTCTTCAGACATGGGTCTCCTGGGGGAGCTATGACAGCGCTGGCCCCTGTGGTGCACGCTCTTGCGTTATGTGCTGTGGTCATGGCTTCAGAGCCCACCCAGCCAGATCAAGGCTCCCTGTGCTCCCAGTTTTCTTTATGCTGACACTTCTGGGAACTCAGGCAGAGCAGCAGTATACAAATAATGCAGTTAAGTTTCTTGCCTTGCATGTTTATGGTGGCCTTGGTTGACAGAGGCATTTTCTATTAGGATCAAGTCACTGTTTATGTTGTTTGTGTATAATTTGGTGTTCCCTCTGTCTTGGTTCTAATTTCAGGGCGCTGAATAC